AAGTTAATAATGTTATAACATTTAATTAATTTTTTATTTGTTGCAACATAATAAAATAATTGTTGTTACCATCTTTAGCTATTGTTTATTATGCAATACAATCAGGTTGTAATGATCTTTTTGCGTTATTACAACTACTTTTTCAGATAAAAATTTAGCCATATATCATAGAGGGTTAGAAGATGAATAATATAAAAGCATTATATCACATTGGAAAGATCGTAAAATCAAAATAATAATTAGAACAAACGCATTTAGCATGGTATTAATTCTTCTAATGTTCATTTAATAATACATTGTGTGGCTCCTTTGAACATGAGTAAGTAATATTATTATATGTGATATACAGTATATGCTTTTTATTTAACACTTTTTATTACATATAGTGAATTTGGTTCAACAAATTGGACGAGCAGAACGTAATGGTAGTAAATCCAGAAGTGTTATATTTTATTCAATAAAAAAAGATTTAAGAACAAACTTTGGAATCTTAGCTGAAAATTGTGAAATGTGAGTGTTTGAGTTAAATCACTAATAATTATAAATTAAAAAATTTATTATGAAAGAAATAAATAACATACAAAAAATTAGAAAATTTTAGTATTTTATATTGATAATAATTATATTTAATAAATAGCTGTTTTAATACTCAAAATATGACTGACCAAGAACGTGAACGAAAATGTTATCTTGATAATGGAATACATAAAATTCGTAAAGTCCTCTTATTTTGCCGAACTCAATATGAATGCAGAAGTCAAATAATTAGTCGTTATTATCTTTGAAATGGAGATAGTGTTCATTCTTCTTGTTTGAAGTGTGATAATTGTAAAAATCAGATAAAAGAATTTCTAACGTGTGAAAATTGCATAGGAGATATTCTTCATTTATTAGATATTATTGAGGAAATGAGTAATAGTAATTGTGAAATTACTGAAGATGATGTGGTAGAAATTTTTTGTAAGTCAAATACTAAAAAGATTTGAGAGTCAGGTTTGACTGAGTTAGTGCTATATAAAAGTAGACGAAAGCTAAAATTTGGAAAGCTAAAAGAATTGGCTAGTTATATGCTTGCTGATCTGGTAGTGTATAGTAATTATGTAGAATAAAAAATTCACTTTATTATTCTTCACCAAATGCTCAAAATTTATCAGTGAGCATATTTATAGTAGGACTTGTTGCTGAAGCAAAAATGAGAGTTATGAAAGATTCATGGTACTATTGGGTGCATAAAAAATAGGAATTTTTATTATAATCATAACATTAATAATAATAATAATAAAATTTAATACTAATAATAATATAAAAAAATGAAATGTGAAATGTACAACTTTTACGCGTCTAAATATAAAGAAAAAAATGTATACAGACCTTATAGGATAAGTCGAGCCAAATAGTACCAATAAATTGTGAACCAATATAATTTATTATTTCATATTCACAAAAATATATATTCATATTCACAACTTTATATCAGGTTTGTTCAAAATGTTTCTTAACGAACAAAATTTTTTAAAAGTTGAAATGTAAAGTTCAGAACTGCGTCTTTATAACGATATAAGTTTTATCCTTATATGTTGAGTATTACAAAAGTTTATCTTTTGCGAAAATTAGTATTACTATTTAATATAAAAATCATCATGTCGATCATTATCAATTTATCACGTAATACATTCTACCCTTAAATAAAATTCTAAATAGGTAAAATTTATATTATTATCAGAAATAATAATTTTTATTGATTCACAGAATTCCACAGAATTTTCTTAAATACATCTAACTACATTATTTATATTAGTTATTGTTATAGTCAATTCTTTATGTTGCTTAAATGTTATAAGCGGACAGATAATATATGTGGTAAGCAAAAGGTTTAATTTGTAATTGAGATTAAGTAAAATATAGGTATCAGTAGTTTATTTGATATATACTAACAAATGAGTACTGCCTCAAATGTCAGCACTTCTGTAATGTACAAATATTCTAAATAATCAAACTAAACTAATCTAAAATATTCCTATAAATCTTTACTCTGTATGTTCTCTCTGAATCTTCAAGGATTCTCAACTCATATTTATATAAAATAAAATATATATAATCGTTAACAATATTAAATAAATAAACTAAATATAATTAATAAACTAAGTTAAATAAATAAACTAAAGAAAATAAAGAAAATAAATAAAATAAATAAACTAAGTTAACTAAATAAACGAGGTTAACAAAGTTAACATAGTTTCTAATGATCTACATTAGGAAGATCATCCTAATGATTTTTGTATAACATTATTATATAATTTCACAAAATTTTAACTGTAAATATTGCATAAGGTTACGTTTTAGTATAAACCTTCGTAAAATTACGTTTTATAAACCTTCGGGGACCTGTAAACCATTTGTAAACCTTCGTATCTTTATGCAATATTATGGTGTAAAGCTTTGCAATATTTATATTTTAGTACAAAATTTAATATTTCTAAAAATTTTTATAAATTAGATCACAAAATTATGTAAAATTCTTAAAATTGAATTTTGATCATTAAACTTCAATAATCAAAGTTCGCATTTTACAATTTGCAAATTTGTTTTATAAATTAAGTTAGTATTTTTTAACAGATATAGTAATATGCAAAAAAAGTTTCTATAAACTTTCTTATTAATGAATATCTTGATATTTTTAGAGAGAATAAAAGTATTTTATTTTGCAATTTTTATGACTTCTCAGTTAAATGGAAATTAAATCTACTATTGATAGATATTGTCTTTCGAAAGGATATGCATTATAAATATTATATTATGGTGATTATAAATAGTAAAACCTATATATAATCACCTGTAATATAAATATTATATTATGATGATTATAAATAGGTTAAAAAATTTATTTTATATAATTTATTTATATTAATTTTTATTATTTAATTTATTTATTTAATGAGAAAAAAAATATTAATTATATAATTTTAATATTAATAATTATAGCAATAGTAAAAAAAAAATATTACTGACCTTTCCTCTTCATAAGACTCATCTCTGATCCGATTGATCCAAGAAATCCAGTACCTACAATAAGAAAAAAGAAAAAAGGTAAGTATAATAATTAATTAATTAGTTAAATTAATTAATTAAAAAAATAAAAGAATATTAACTTTCACCTTTTCATAGGACTTACTTTTAATTGATTGATCTAAGGAATCTGACACCTACAAAAAGAAAAGAGATAAGTTATAAATTTTAATTAGCTAAATTAATTAATTAAAATATATATATATACTTTCCTTTATAGGACGTGCCTCATATCTGATTAATCTAAGGAATTCCGATACTATAAAAAGGATAAGGTAAGTATTTTATAATTTATTTAATTTTAAAAAAAATATTTATCAATTAATAACTCTACCTTTTCTTTATAGGACTCATCTCTAAACTGATCAAACCAAGGTTTCTGATACCTACAAAAAGAGAAAGAGATAAGTAATTATTTAATTTTTTTAATTAATTAAACTAATAAACCTAATATTTACCTTTCTCCTATAGAACTCGCCTTCAATTCAATTGATCCAAGGATTCTAGCACCTACAAAAAGAGAAAGTGATAAGTATTAATTAATTTTTAATTAATTAAAAATAAACTAATATTTACCTTTTCCCTATAGAACGAATACTTTGATCTAAGAAATCCCACTTTACAAAAAGGATAAGGTATGTATTTTATAATTTATTTTAATTTAAAAATTTATTAATTAATAAATTTACCTTTTCTTCGTAGAACTTATCTCTGAACTGATTGAACCAAGGTTTCTGATACTTATAAAAAAGAAAGAGGTAATTAATTATTTAATTTTTTTAATTAATTAATTTAAAAAAAATACTAACCTTCCCCTTTCATAATTCTAGAATAGGCCTTTATCATAACACCAAAACTGGGTTTCAGGTTTTGGATACAGTTTTGATTTTGGGTTGAGTTTTAGATTAAAAATAAAAAAATAAAAAAAATTAAAGTTATAAAAAAATGGTTTTCTATTCAAAATCACTGATCATTACCAAAATTATTTTTATAATAATGTCAAGTGAAATGCGATTATAAATAGTTTATTTATTAATTATTCAATATGCAAAAATCTTTTTTCCTAGTGATAGTGATTAACATATAGTTGTAATTATAAAAAGGGTAAATATATATTATATTTTTGGGACATTAAAATTAAGTGATTATAGACAGGATGTGATTATAAACAAGGTGATTATAGACAGGTCTGACTGTATAATATACTGATTAGACATAAAAAATATATGCAAAATTGCATATACAATATACTGATTAAACGTAAATTCTGTATTTTTTTTGCATATAAAAAAAGTCAATTTTCAGCATTTAGTATACGAAAATACTAATCAAAAATAACGTATACAATATACTGATTAGACATATAAAATCTATGTAAAATTATGTATAATATACTGATTAGATGTATACATTCCGTATTTTTCTACATACAGAAAAAGTCAATTTTCAGTATCTAATATACAGAAATATTTACGAATTTATTATACTGTTTTTTTACGTTTATTATATATTTTTAAATATATTATTTCTGTATACTTTTCTTATACAGATTATTTATAGGTATTATTATTTATATTTTTTTTAAATACATAAAAATACTAAATTGATTTTAATTATTGTAGAATTACATAGAATATATGAAATCAGTATTAAATCATATTATAGAATTTTGTTTAACTATACACAGATAAGATAAGGTAAAGTTTGTGTTTCAAACTTTAGGATTGAGTCTTAAAATTCAGTTTTAATAGGATCAAGTCCTTATTTTTAAGAATTAATTAAGACTATTCTAAATCATATTTATATCAGATTATTTTGTAAATACAACTTTATGTTATACAACCTGTATGTGGTCTAATGATGCTATTCAAAATCTATTTTAATGTATAGCTTAAAAATTGAGAAATTACTTCAAAACCTTTAAAATAACTTTTTTTTAAATCTGAAACTTGATGAAACTTAATTGAATTTAGGAAAACCTATTAGAAGTTTAGGTAATGCTATTTATTATAAATAAATAGTTTTATCTCAAATATCTCAAAACTTAAATTTCTAAAAATAGTTTAAGTAGAATTTTAATATAATCATATAAATTTTTTTTAATATAAAATGTTTTAAATATTCTAAAGAATAAAAATATTAGTGAATATTAATAATGTTATAATATTCAAAAGAAAAATTAATTAATAATAAATGATTTAATATTCAAAGATTAATAGAAAATAAATTATAAAATGTTATATTAATTATTTTTAATAATAATATATTTAGTTTTTTTTTATTTTATTTTCTTTAAAAAGTTTTCTGCTCATAAAATGCAAAGTTTGTTAAATTATTTATCTTATTAATACACTTTTTTTAAAGATTTTTTAGAATTAACTGAATTGATATAATACAAGTTTAAGCCATTAAGTAATAATAACTAAATATTCAAATTATAATTTTAATGAATCTGAATTTTTTTTGGATTATAATTTTGAGTAAAATTATAATTTTGAGCAAAATCACAATTTTAAATCAGGCTATAATTTTGAATAAGACAAATAAGATCAAAATATATTAGATAGTTCTAGTGAAGAAGATAATTATAATAATAGTAATGAAAACTTATTTCAATATTATTGAATTTTACCAACATAAAAGTATTTTAATAACCAAATATTTCAATATACAGAATTATATATGAAATCGAAATGAAAACCCAAAAGTTGAAATATTTCGACTTTGGAGGTCAAAGTCAAAATGAAAAGTCGAAATGGTCAAAATTACGTCATATCACATGATTTTTTATAT